TATGTCCCCCATGGGTCCCGGACTGAGAGACAGTGGGTGTGTATCGTTAGGGAAGACATGCATCACTATACTTGACATTGCATCTCATGGCATTACACATTTTATTATTGATGAACTTGAACACGTGTTTTGTTGATCTTGTGAGTGTTTCTCTGTGAAGCTTGTGACTGTTGAATATTGAGTTGTTATTGAGAATGTGTAAACTGATAGAGTGTGGTTATTGAGTTGTGTGTTTGGTAAACTGTAAACTATTAGACTTTAGCGTGGAGGTTTAGATATGGTGTAAGAAGTGCCCGCATTTTGTTCACTTAACCTGTGTTTAGAGGTTTGTTTGTTGGGTACCGCGTGGTTTGGTACTCACCCCTTGCTTCTACAAATTTTTGTAGGATACGAGCCTGGATCTTCGTGATACCTGTCATTCTTTTCGTTTCCGAGGCATCTTGTGGAGGATTGTGAGGTAGCTGCTTGTCATCTCAGCGAACTTTCCTACTCCAGTTTATGACTTTGTTTTTACTTGAAAGACAACTTCATGTTAGGCTTCTATTTTATTTCAATTCTAATATTTACAATAGAGGTTTGTGCACGTGACAACCTGATTTTGGGGATTGGATTAATATGACTTGGTTTCATAATAGGAATTGTTGTTAGATTGTCATTTACTTCCGCACTTTGTTAGATATTTGGTTTTAGGCTGACTTGTCTTGGTGGGATAAGACGAGTGCCATCACACCCATTTTTGGGTCGTGACAGCTTTCTTCTGCGCAGAGTTTCAAAGTGGATATTCATGGTTGTAGGTTAGTAAATTTTTTCTTATTTTATTACGTTTACGATTTCAAAGTATGATAGTTAGAATTTCATAACTTTCCTTTATTTCGCGGCCAAGGTTTCATATCTTTCTTCTTAGCCGAGTTTCAAAGTGGATTTTCGTGACTGTAAACACAATAAAATAAGAAAAAAGTTAACTAACCTATAAACACGAATATCCACTTTGGAACCCAGCGACGAAGAAAACTTTGAAATCTTATCCGCGAAATGAGGGAGAAGGGGTGAAATCGTTTCTGGAAAATAATGTAATGAGGGGAAAATGAGTAATTAAGATTTAGGGATTTAGTCAATGTGGCATATGTGAAATTTAACAACTTCTGCCAATAAGAAGGTCACTTTCGACCCAATAGTTTGAATGGAAGGGTAATTTTGAGCCGAAATATAGTTTAAGGGTAAATATGAGCTATTTCAAATTGTTTAAGGGTACTTTTGACCCTTTTTCTTTTAGTCTATGTGGCAGTTGAAATCTACTGGGGTGTCATGTGACATCCACATTACATTTAACAATTTCCGTTAAGTAGAAGAGTACTTTTGACCCGATAGTTTGACGGGAAGAGTAGTTTTGAATCAAAATATATTTTAAGGATATATATGAACTATTTCAGATAATTTAAGGATATTTTAACCCTTTTCCGTTGTTTTTATTAGGCTGTTGATTTTGGTTCCTGACTCTTAAGATTTTAGTTAATGAGTAATGACTAAATTGATAATTCAATAATCTTATAGGAGCAATTTCTTATTTAAATCGAAAATCAAATCGTTAAAATTAAAAATTAATTGATCGAGCATTAAATTATTTATGAAATAAAATTAATTAAATAAAATTTGATAATAAATATTTTCTTTGTTTGATTATTGATTTAGAGTGCCTACAAATAAAAAATTAGTAATATAAAAAGTGGATAAAATCAATCAATAAACACCCCTATCATCTATAGTTGTCAACGATATATATTACAAAAATGGATAAATTAGTGTGTATTTTACGGAGAGAAAAAAAATTCAATTTTTTCATGTTCTTGGTCAGAATTTTTAGAAAATGTTTTTTAAAAATCAAATTTCTTTACTATAGATAAGACATAAATATCCTATTAGACTATGAGCTCGTTAGGATTGAGTTTGAAAAGTACATATTTTATCCATTTTTATTTGTCATGTTGCGCTTTTTGAAAGTCAATTTGACAAATTTTTAAATTTAAATTAGATTACATTAGTTCAATATTTTAAACAAAAAAATTAGATATTCAAAAACTATATGAAAAGTACTATAAATTGCAATTTTTTGCATATCAATATGATGAAAAAATACATCTTAAGAGGTTAGTCAAAGTTTTTATTGTTTGACTATAAAAATAGTAACCATAACAAACGATAGTAGACGGAGGGAGTATTTTTCAAGTAAAAAAATAAAAATTCAAATTGAAATCACTTTAAGTCAAAAAATAAAAAGTAGCGAAATGCCTATTTTTGATTTTTTGACTTATTTTAAGTCATTTTTTTACCTTCGGAAACAGTTCCTAACTTATTTTAAGTTATTTTTTATATCTGTCAAACACTTTTAAAAATAAAAAAAATGACTTAAAAAGTAAATTTGATCAATTTCTAAGCTAATGCAAACACTTTTTATAATTAAAATATTATAAACTCACGTTAACTATACTAAGATTCTATTATCCATTCAGATCATTTTTTTAAATATAATTTTGTACACTTTTTTATAGTCAAGATATAAGATGAATAGGAATTTGTTACATATCTTATATGTTATATAAATAAGATAATTGTGAATATCTCTAAGTTCTCAAGCATGCTCTTGCCACGTAACAATGCGACGCAAAAGATTACCTCATTGCAGCTTTGACCTACAATAACTATTTTAATTAATTGTGAAATTAAGTTAACTAACATTGCTGTTGTTTATATTTTTAGTAACTAACATTACTGTTCATTATTTCGTAAATGTTTCGACATTGAATCTAATGATAATTAGTTAATGTTGACAAAATTTTTAATAGTCTTTGTTGATTTGCATGTATAACAACTCCAATTTCATAATGGAAATATTTAATTATTATAATCACTAAACTCAAAGTTATCACAGAAAATGAAACTACCAATGAAATTGCAAAACAATAATGATTTAATAAAACAAGTGTAACTTTTTAAAAAGATATTTCTGTATATCCCTAATTACTTATCTACTTTTATTTTTTAGTTATCTCTAATTATTTCTTCATTTTGACAAATCAAGAAGAATAATTTTTTATCTATTTTATCCTCAGTTAATTGCTTTTAAAAAGGTAAAACTTTTTAAAAATTTTAATTCATCCTCTTTATAGTTAATAGGAGTAAAATAGTAAATTTATCATATCGATAATTATCTTCTTAATAAATAGCTGTGTCAATTCAAAAATGAAGAAGTAATTAAGGACAGAGGGAGTATCAAAAAGGAAGATGAGAAGCTTAAACTCAAAGAAAGAGAATGAAAGGGCTAAATATTTTTCTCAACAATTTGCAGAAATCATTCTTTTTCATCGGACGTTCTTTTAACTAGTTGTCAATTGAACTGAGTTCCAAATCAATTTTTGTGAAGATCTTTTAATTTTGCTACTTTTTTTCAGCCCAATAACTAATTACATAACATCTATATAAATATCGACATTAAGTCGAGACTGGTTCATAATATCATGTTATAATTATTAATTTTTTTTTATAGTGACTAAATATTATCTTTAAAAATTATTTAATCAGGAAAACTTCGCAATAGTGTTGAAAAATAATAGAAGATTAATTCAAGTACATTCATCTGGTGTATTTGGAAGAAATTTATTGAATTCTAATGTTCATTTAAAATAATTGCCTCATAAGCTAGTTGTAAATTGAAAAATTGAATTAAATTGGTGACTTCTGTTTTATTTGATTTAGTTTAAAATTTTAAAATTAATTAAAATTTAATCTAATTTTAATTTCAATAAAAAGTTCAATCCAGATCGAATGGTAAACAACAATCAAGATTATAAATGGAGACCAAATATTTGGCATACTACCAAATACCAATATAGAACAACTCAATAAAGTCTTCCCCAGAAAAAATAACATCATTTTATATTTAATAATACTGTAATTTTATACAATAATTTAAAATATATAATAATTCAAATTTTTTATATTTAATCAAATTATATCGCATAAATTGAGTCAGTATATTAAAAATATCTTTTAACATTTTTATTAGTAATAATAAGACGTGCCTTAAGCGCCTTGAAGGTTGAAATTTAATTTAATTTAATTTTTTATTTTTCTGGTTCTGCATTCGTGCGGCTCTCTTCAGAATTTCCGCCCAATTTTCATTTTCCAATAATTATCTAATTATTGCTTTTATTAATACCATAATCCATAGAATATTCTAATAAACCCCATATTAAACTATGTTAATAAATAGAAAAAATAAATAATACTCTTCCCGTTTCATATTATTTGATCTGTTTCCTTTTTACATGTATATTTTAAGAAATAAAAAAATAAGAGGAGTTTTACCAATTCACCCCTAAGAACTTCTTTAGAACTTTACAAACATGTGTGGACACTTTCAAAAAGAATTTATTACAAGGGCAAAAAGGGAAAAACAATTAATGATTTGTTGAATTAGTAAGATGATCAACCTATATCTCACGTTGTTAGTATAATGATCAACTAATATGGGACGGAGACATAGCATATTTAGACCTCATCATAACAATCATCCTTTATAATAATTGTTTTTTTCCTCATAAAATCTATTTTCATGATATATTCACTATTATAACATTTTGATATAGTAACATAATAAATATCTGACCAAATAATATCGTTGTAAAGAGATTTCACTATCTATTTATAATCAGGGGTTGAGTTCCAAATAGATGTGAGAGGGTTCATCTAAATTTCTTGACCTGACAAAAAATTATAGTGTAAACACAAAGTTTGAAAATTATTTTTTATAAGGCATATATATTAGATGTTGAATCTCATTGAATTTTGTTGTCTGTTTACTTTTTCAGATTTTTGAATTGTTAATGAAAATTGTCACTATGTCATCACTTATATTATATAATAATAATAATAATACAAGATAATACTTTGCTAGCTAGTGTTAACTATGGTTCCCCTATATAAACCATCCAATATCTCTCTCATTTTATACCCACAAACACCAAATATACTTTCTTTTTCTCACTCTCTCTCCAAATATATATTCATCATGACAACAAACATAGAAAGCCTTTGGATTTTTGCTTTAGCTTCAAAATGCAAATCTTTCACTTCTATAAACTCAGTATTCTTTGCAATTTTTGTTATTCTTATATGGTTAGTCATGAACATGATTTACTGGGCTCACCCTGGTGGTCCTGCTTGGGGTAAACACACATGGAAAAAATTAAGATCAAATCCAATTCCAGGCCCAAAAGGTTTTCCTATTATAGGAAGTATGAACCTCATGAGTGGTCTAGCACATCACAAAATAGCAAAAATCGCGAAAACTCTTAAAGCAAGTCGTCTCATGTGTTTTAGCCTTGGTGAAACACGAGTCATTGTGACTTGTAATCCTGAAGTCGCGAAAGAAATATTAAACAGTTCGGTATTTGCTGATCGTCCGATTAAAGAATCAGCATATAGATTAATGTTCAATAGAGCGATTGGTTTTGCTTCATATGGGGTTTATTGGAGGACACTTAGAAAAATTTCATCAAATCATTTATTTTCACCTAAGCAAATAAAATTTTATGAAAAACCAAGATTTCAAATTGCTAAACAATTGATTTCTATGTTTGAAAAGAATAGTCCAAATGACATTTTACGTGTTAGGGATGGTTTAAAATTGGCTTCTTTGAATAATATGATGTGTTGTGTTTTTGGTAAAAGTTATGATTTTGACTGTTGTAATTTAGAAACAAAAGAATTGATGAAATTAGTTGATGAAGGTTATGAACTTTTAGGCATGTTAAATTGGTCTGATCATATTTCTTGGTTAGGTGAATTTGATTTACAGAGAATTAAACAGAGGTGCTCTGAACTTGTGCCAAAAGTAAACAAATTTGTCAAAAAAATTCTTGATGAACATGTGAATCAATCTGGTGATTTTGTGGATGTTTTGCTATCTCTTCAAGGCTCCGAAAGATTATCGGAGAATGACATGATTGCAGTACTTTGGGTAAGCTGTCTCAATTTACGTGACACTGTTTGATTTGATATAAAAAAAAACTTATGATCTAGAACACTTGTTGATCATTAATGTGGATATCTTCTAGAATTGAAATGTTTCTGATTACAGAAATATAATATATGTTTATTTTTGAAACAGACTAAAAACGGAAGGACGTGAAGGTGGGGATATATTATATATATACAAATAGAAAAGAAAACTAACATAACTACTTAATCAAGTCATTTTCTTCTTAAACGACTTGTCCTTTTCGAGAATTTTTGCTCCTTAAAAATATCTTTTGGTTATTGTAAGAATATGAAAAAAATGTTCTATTAATATTAAATGATTGGTTCAAAATAGTTCCTAAAGTATACACGAAATAGTTTTAATTTTTTTAAATTAGCTAGAAGTTAATGCTTTTAGTCTCTCTCAAATATTTAATAATTTGTATTTGGTAGATTTGACATAAATAATAGAAAAAAAGATTTAATTATAAATATCAAGAAAGTCCAATCAAATCATTAAGTATGTAATTAAAAAAAAAGTGTGCTAAACACCAATAAGATATCAAAACATTACACCTAAAAAAGTTGCACCAAACTTTGAAAATAAATTGAATTTTTGAGTTCCCACTATTTTTTAAAAATATTTTTTAGTTCCTTCAAATTTTAATATAAATATTAGACAAAGACTAAAAATGTTAATTTTTGACAAAAGTTAAGGATTAAAACAATTCAATGCAAAACATAAAGGGATTATTTTGAAATTTCCACAAACATATGGGACTATTTTTTTTAAATCATCTTTCGCTATCTATTTAAATTAAAAAATTAGTGTGATAGGTGGTTAAAAGGTCACAATCAATAACAATTACAAAGTTCAAATTACATTGACCTCCTGACTATTTTGATATTATTTTTTTCCCTTTACTTTATGTGTCAATTATGTGAAATAAGTTTCAAAAATTCTAATTTGTCACAAGTCAATGCAGGCAGTATCATACTTGCATTCTAATCATGGATCCGCCACTGGGATCACGACACATTTGTCCTTACAATTAAAGTTTACATTTGTAGGAAATGATATTTAGGGGGACTGATACGGTAGCGGTGTTGGTAGAGTGGATTCTAGCCCGAATGACGCTTCATCCTGATATTCAATCAAAAGTTCAAGTTGAGATAGACAGAATCGTCGGACAATCACGAACCATGACGGAGTCTGACGTATCAGAAATGATCTATCTTCCCGCCGTGGTAAAAGAAGTACTAAGGTTGCACCCTCCTGGTCCACTATTGTCGTGGGCCCGCCTTGCAATAACAGACACCATAATTGATGGTTATCACGTGCCAGCTGGGACCACGGCCATGGTGAACATGTGGGCCATCACGAGAGATGCAGATGTTTGGGCCGACCCACTTATATTTAAGCCAGAAAGGTTCTTGAACGAGGCTCATAGTGACATGGATTTCTCGGTACTAGGGTCCGACATGAGATTGGCACCATTTGGATCTGGAAGGCGATCTTGTCCCGGAAAGACACTAGGCTTGACTACAGTCACTTATTGGGTCGCAACACTTTTACACGAATTCGAGTTTGGGCCCAGTAGTAATGTTGACTTGTCTGAGGTATTGAAGCTCTCTTGTGAAATGGCCCACCCACTTAAGGTCAAGATCCGATCTAGACATGCTCCCAAGACAAATTAAATGTGTTAAACAATATTAAAAGGGGGAAACATGGTACCAATAAACAAAAGAAGACCATACTCTTTCTGTACATAATATCTAGTTTTTGGTCATCTTAACGTTTGATGGTAATGCTTATTTTTTTTTTAATTTTGGATATGGTCTTTAGAAAGTTGATTTGGCTTTTGCTTGTACAAATGGTGGTTCAATTAATATAAGTTTTCTATAAGATACCTACTATGTTATAATCTCTCTTTGTGTCATAAGTCCAACCCTTGAGCGAACCTAGGTGAACTCCAGGAGATTCATCCGAACTTCTTTATCAAAAAATTACATTTATATATAATGTTGAATTCTAATTTTATATGAATATATATATATATATATATATATTCAAAATGAACCTTTTGAAAACAAAGTACAGGTTTGACTTAGTGGATAAATGGTTCGAATTAGCTCCTAGGTCACAGATTCAAGTTCCTTGGGCAACATTTCCCCCCTATTTTTTTAATACTTTGGAGAATGGAACTTTTGGGCTTAGACCTTCTTTTTTTTTTTCTTTTATTCCATTTCTTCTTTTTAATTTGTTTTTGTTTAAATTTATTAGATACATTTTTTTTTATTATTTTCATATCTATTATTCATGTTGTTTTAATGTAACTCTTTTTCATATTCTAACTTGAAATTAAAATTCTTTTAAGTATGATGAATTATATTTAACTAGAAATTGAGATACATATAATATTTTTTATTTTAAAAAGGGTAAATTAGATGTAATTTAAACTTAAATATCGTTAATATCCTTTTAAAGATATTAATTTATAAAATTCATTTTATATTTTTATTCTATTTTAGAGGGATGAAAATTTAACTTATTTGATTTATTCGTTATTTGTATTTTTTTTTTGAGAAAATGCACAAGTACCCCCCAGACTATGACCAAAATCCCAGAGACACACCTTAGCTAAATTAAGGTCCTATTATCCCTCTGAACTAATTTTTTTTTTGTAATTTTATACACCTTTTGTCTTACGTGACACACTTCGTGACTCCACGCAATTGAGGCACGTGGTAGATATTTGAATGTCACGTAAGTCAAAAGGTGCACAAAATTAAAAAAAAAGTTCAAGAGGGGAGGGGGGGGGGGTAATAGAATCTTAGAATAGCTAAGGTGTGTCTCTGGGATTTCGGTCATAGTGTAGGAGGGTACTTGTGCATTTTCCTTTTTTTTATTTTTATAAATTATGACAAACCTTGTAAATTGAACTATATGCACTAAAAAACTTGACGATGTTATTTGGTTATCATTTGAATATGCATTATAATATTAGTATTCTTACACATTTTTAGAGAATCTTGATAAAAGTATAAAAAAACAAGAATTTTTAAGAATGCTCGATGGAGCATGACAAAAGTAGAAAAAAATGTTTAATATGGCATAATGAATTAAGTTAGATTTAGCATGATAAGATAAATATCTTTCTTCCCCGTCTCATTCCCTTTTTCATCATTTAATTTTCACCCATTTTAGGAATTAACCTATGTAATACATTCAATCCGTTAAAATTCTTATCAATGTATCTTTGTTCTAGATATCTTGCTTAGTTTAGTCTTTACTTTTATAGACCAATGAAATATTTATGATTCTTGTACAAAGAGCATGCCGATGGACTACTATGCTCACCGCATACTTGCATTACTACCTGAATTTTTTCCTCATACTTTAAATCCCTCAACAAAAATTTTAGGTCTGCCACTGGTCCAACCCATTGGACCGTGCGAATACCTATTTTAACATCTAGATAGGAGAATACTTACTTAGAAACTAGGATATCAAATGTTGAAGTGAATAAATTACATGCTAACATTTGGTTTACATATGGAATTCCTCTCAACTCAATTAAAAATAAAGTTCTTTTGTAAAGTATTACATTGAAATTATCCAAAGAACTAATCTAAGAAGGTACAACTTTTAAGAAGATACAAGGTTTTAAATCAAATAGACACAACTAACACCATCAAGGAAGAAAAGTAAAAGCAGTCGGAGATCATCTTCGTCTTTACCTATGAAACATCATTGGATCTTACAACTAGACTATGTCAAGTAACACAACAAGAATAATATTAGTACAAATAACATGTATTGGTAGACATCATCAGTTGATCTGAATCCACCATATCATATCATGTAATAATCAAAGAAACATGAACTTGGAGATAAAGTTAGAATCCAACCTTGCAATCATCACTCCTACTAGAAGAAGATTATCTTGGAACCAATACGTTCTAGATCACAAGTCCAACCATCGTATTTCACTGTCAACTCCACCATCAGGGTCATTTCACCCTCATAATAGATCATAACCTAACACCTCTATCACAAAGATATCTTCCTAATACCAAGGTCACTACTAACTCTATAAACCAATGCTCCTATAGATTTTATGGACCTAATGAACAGGGTGTTCTTGACATGTTCGTTATTGTATTCATAAGTGATATCCTTATATACTCTCGTAGTGAAGAGGAGTATGCTAATTACATCAGAATTATTCTCCAGACTCTCAAGGATAGACAATTGTTTTGATAAATTCTCTAAATGTGAGTTTTGGTAGAAATCAATTGCATTTTTTAGCCATGTTGTTTCTGTCAAGGGTATTTTGTTGATGACAAAAGATTGAGGTAGTATGAACTGGCCTAGGCCCACTACTCTAATTGACATTAGAAGCTTTTTGGGTTTAGTTGAATATTATAAGAAGTTTGTTGAGGGATTCTCATCTATTTTTTCCCATGCCACACTAACACAAAAGAAGGTCAAAGCAGAGCTTTCAAGACCTTAAGGCCCTATTGATGTTTGATCCAATTTTGACCTTGTCATAGGGTACAAATGATTCTGTGGTTTATTATGGCGCTTTTAGAATTGGTCTTGATTGCATTGATGTAGAACGATAAAGTTATTCCTTATGTTTCTAGATAACTTAAGGTTCATAATAAATATTATCCCACTCATGACCTACATGTAGCTATTGTAGTGTTCTCTGTAAAATTTAGGGTCATTTTATTTACGGTGTTCATGCTGACGACTTCACAAATCATAAGAGTTTGCTATATGTATTAAGCTAGAAAGATTTAAATCTTCATTAGATTATGTGGCTTCAGATCTTTAAAGATTATGATATGAGCGTATTTTACCATCTAGATAAGGCAAATGTTGTTGTCGATGCTCTTAGCAAGTTGTAAATATGGAGTGTGTCCCGTATAGATGAAGGTAAGAAGGATTTGATGATAAAAGTACATGTACTTACACAATTTGGAGTTTATCTTACAGATTTCGATGAGGGTGGTGTGGTAGTTTATATGGGTATGAGTCTTTACCGGTGATTAAAGTTAAAGAGAAGCAAGATATTGATTCCACTAACTAAAAGATTTAGTTCATAAACAAAATGTGGAAATCTTCTTGAGGGAAATGAAATATTTTGATATCAAGAATTGTTGTGTTTTCTTGATGTTAATTGGTCGAAATATCGAATCTAATAGAGGCTCATAGTTTCAGATACTCCATCCACCCAGGTTCCACTAAGGTGTACTATGACTTGAGAAAAGTGTTCTGGTGGAATGGTATGACATGTGACATAGCATTTTTGTAGCGAAGTGTCCTAAATATCAACAAGTAAAAGTTGAACACCTAAGACAATGTGACAAGGCTCATGATCTAAGTATCTTATATGTAAATGAGAGATGATTAACATGAATTTCATCACAGACTTACTTCGTATAAGCCGACAACATAACTCCATTTGGGAAATCTAGATAGGATGACTAAGTTGGTCACTTTTTATTCGTTAAGACTTCAGATTTCGCCAAAGATTATGCAAGAGTGTATACTTGACAGATAGTCAAACTCTATGGGGTTTCTTTGTCCATCATATTTGATATTGGTACTCAATTCACATTGCATTTGGAAAGTCTTTTCAAAAGAGTCTAGGAACCGTGTGGACCTTAATACAACATTTCATTCGCACATCGATGGTCAGGCTAAATGAATCATTCAAACTCTAAAGGATATTTTGAGATCTTGTCAAATCGATTTCAAAGGTAATTCGGATGATCACCTACTTTTTTTTGAGTTTTCTTTTAATAATAGTTATCATTCCAACATCTAGATGACTCTATTTTATAGGAAGAGGTGTAAATCCTCTATTAGTTAGTTCAAATAGGGTGAGACTACTTTGATAAGATCAAACTTAGTTCATCAAGCTATAGAGAAAGTCACATTGATTAGAGGATGACTGAAAATGGCGTAAAGTAGATATAAATCTTATTATGATGTGAGAAGGAAACACTTAGAGTTTGAGGTAGATGATTGCGTGTTATTGAAGGTCTCTCCTATGAAAGGGGTAATGCATTTTGGTGAAAAAAGTGACGCTTAATCCCCGATATGTTTTTCCCTATCATATTCTGAGCAGGATTGGGAAAGTTGCTTATGAGCTAGAGTTTCATGTGGAGTTGACAGTTGTGCATCCTATGTTTCATATCTACATGTTGAAGAAGTGTAATTAATCATTTATTGTTCCATTAAAAACTATTTTGGTTAAGGATAGTTTTTCCTTTGAGGAAGTGGCGGTACAAATACTAGATCCATAAGTTTGCAAGTTGAGAACCAAATAAATAGCGTCTTTATGGAGAATTTAATTTGTTGAAGGGGCCACATATCAAGCCGAAGAGGATATGAATACGGGATACCCAAAGTTGTTCATTCTTCAAGAAGACAATGTCGGATATAATAGTCCTTTTCTTGTTTTAAATCCACCCTCTATACTTTATGGTTGAGTGTTTTAGTTTCTATGCTCATATTCGTTCCTCTTGCTTTCTTATAGGTGGTTCTGACCTTAGTTGACCGTTTAAGTTAAGAAAAAGTGTGGTGGAGTAACAACTCTATCTTGATCATCATTCGAGAACAAATAATCCAATAGGGATATATTGTAACACTTTAGAACTCCTAAAAAAAGATTTGAGCTATCCTTCGTATGCGTATAGGCTCCAACTCGACCCTATTGATTTGAATGTTTTGTCTATCGAACGACCTTTTTATTTAATTTGTTGATTGCAATCGATATCATTGGATCATTAATAAGTTGAGCATGCTTTCATCTGACACAAAAGTCATGACGATATGCGATGTGACTTGTTTGGTATAAAGGAGACAAAGGTGAATGACTCTAGTAAATTTGTTTCTTATTTGGTGATGACTTGGTGTATGAAATTATTTGTTAAAGCACTAAGCTCCAACAACTAGCCATATAAAGAATTTTAAATTTATTAAACTAACCATGTTTTACTATTGGTTGTAGCTAACGATAGTTGACACTCAATCCTTTAGTCAATTATAAAATGTACAAATTAAAAAAAATAGACCCCCTTCCACAATATAATAAAGGAAAAAAGCTCAAATATGTCATTAAATTTTCAGAAAAGTCTCATTTATGCAATCAGTTAAAAGTTTGGCTCATTTATGTCATTACCGTTAAAAAAAGGTTCATTCATGCCATTATTTTTTAACGATAGATTTGCAAATTCATTTTTGACACGTGACCAATTATAATTCTGCCACATCATCAATTTATTTACTAAATATATTTAAAAAATATTAATTCAATTTTTTATCAAAAGTATGATTTTTTATATTAAAAGAACTGATGACGTGAACGAATTATAATTAGTCACGTGTCAAAAATGATTTTGCAAAATTACCGTTAAAAAATAATGACATGAATGAGCCCTTTTTTTAACGATAATGACATAAATG